CACAGGGTTCTTGTGCCCCTAACCCCGATGAATGTGGAGGGCTTCTGTTTTGTCACATTGATAATGACAGATGAAACTGTAGAGTAATTTAAGTTTCCTAAGGCTTCAGCCTTTACTAAGGAAACAAAAATATTTAAATATCAAAAATACCAAAGCCAAGCCTGTTAGGGTCTAGCTTTAAAACCAGCAGAATAGCAGAAAATGTGTCCTTGTCTAATTATGCTTCTCTAAGAACTGAGACCGATTCCAAAAAGAACAAATGTTTTTATTGACCCTAGAAATATTGATTATAAAAATCAGGGAAGATCAGAAGCTATACAGAGTCAAAATAAAGGGACAGGAGTATAGAATTAAAGCTTTTGTGGATGATGTTATCTGCTTTTTGGAAGATCCACTTAAGAGCCTGGACAGATTATTACAAATTATGAAAGAGTTCGGAGAAGTCTCAGGCTTTAAAATAAACCAAGATAAGTCAGCGATAGTAACTAAGAATATTTGTAAAGAAGAAGAAGAACAAATAAAAGGAAAATCAAAGTTTAAAATAGAGAAAAAAAATATCTGAGACTGACTATTACTAAAAAGAACAAATGCAAGTAGCTTGTGGTTCAAACAAAAGTTTACTAATGGCTTTAATTTATATATACATAAAGGCTATATCCTAATCTAGCTAGTGAATAGGTAAAAAAAATTCTGGATCTCACTATCTTTTCAAAGAAAGTTGAGCAAGGGCGAATATGGAAAACACGCCGTTCACGTGAAAATCTTTGAGAGAGTGTTAACGTCCCTAAAAGGGGAGGTGACCGAAATCACACGGTTAGTTTGAATGAGAGAGAGAGGGGGAGAGAGGGAAGAGTTTGCATGCAGGAAATCCCTATCTATCTAAGGAGGGGGAAAGAGAAAGCAAAAATCTTCCAACAGAAACCAGTCAAGAAATTAACAAAAAGACACAATTTCATGACATGAACCATCCATGAGAAATGCCACGTAGAATTTATCATCCATGAAAAAATGCCATGTAGAATAAGCATCCCTAAAAAACACATCCATGTATGATAAGATTAAAAAGTCACTCCACTGTTTACAATGCATCCAAGAAGCTGTTGAGTGATAAAGATTGATACATGCAATACACAGGATGAGTACCATAAAATACACTGCGATAAGGATTATCCGTGAGATCCTGCAATGGAAAATATACAACCAGGTTGCGCATGGATTGATGCGGTAATAAATAAATCTACTCTACCTATCATTCAAGCATAAATATGGCTGATGGAGTCTTTGGAAAGTTACTCTGCCATCATGTTATTTTTGTATTCGCTGGTTGAACAAGACACTGTTTCTCTGTGCATGTGTTGCACATATTTGTCTTTGTTGTTTCAATTTGTGGATGTTATATGAAATGTATATGAGTTCTTTTCTTTTCTTTTTAGGAATAGCCATCTTTGTGGTATGAATAATATATGAATACGGAGTAACGAAGGAAGATTCCTTTTGAAACATTGGGCTGGCCATATCATCTCAGCCTACATAGGGTTGGTCCTGAGTCTCCAGTTTTCATGGACCATTGCCATGCAGGAGTCAAGGGTGCAAATTCTCCAGTTTTGGTGGCCTCTGCTCCAGGCAAGAGGAGAGGATTGTGTATGGATTGTAGGTGCTTGCTAAAATTCCCCAAAAAATCTTGGGCGCCCCAAAGATGGCTTTGGATATGTAAGCAGTCCATAGATCAAACCTTGCTCAAACCTGGCGTAAGTTGACCTCAGAGCTGTCCTTGAGTCACAGAGGGGCCTTGAGTTCAAGTTCTGGAAGAAATAGAAAGCTAGTAACAAAAACAGCTAAGCAGGGATATGAATGATATGATATATCCACACTATGCAATTGTATCACTTTGATACCACTTTTTTCCTGCCATGGCTCTGTTCCCATGGGATGCTGGGATATATAGTTTAGTGAGGGACATGGAGTATTCTGCCAGAAAGCTTTAGCGCTACAGCTCAGGGAGTGGAGTAGAGAATCCTACAGGTCTCACTAGGCTACAAATTCCAGGACTCCGTGGGACTGAGCCAAGACAATTAAAGTGGGATGAAACTGCTCTAATTGTGCAATGTGGACACAACCCAGATAAACAATCAATCATATGACGAATGTTTCCTGATTGTTTTGGATGTGGATAGATGTGTTTCCTCGTTAAGATCAATTCCTACGGCTTCCTTCGCCTTCAATAACAATATTATATCACTTCATGTGGCCGACAATGAGATTATGTTGATTAGATGATACAATCCAAAGCCCATTCTGTGTAGTTGTGTGCCTTCAATTTCCGACTTACAGCAACCCTAAGGTGAATCTACCATGGGGTTTTCTTGGTAAGTTTCATCAGAGGGGGTTTGCCATTGCCATCCTCTGAGGCTGAGAGAGTGTGACTTGACCAAGGTCACTCAGTGAGTTTCCATGGCCAAACCAGGATTTGAACCTTAGTCTCCAGAGTCCTAGTCCAGTACTGTAACCACTACACTATGCTGGCTCTTAATATTATTAGGCCAACCCAAAAGGCACTGTTTTCTTTGTAAACTTATCCAGGGGTAGCCGTGTTGGCCATATAGCAAAGTACAATACCATCTCAAACCCACCAAACAGCGATACCTTTATTGGATCAAACAAAATGCACATAATACATGATGCAAACTTTCGAGGTTCTACTGGATTCTTCATCCAGCAAAGGTGTTAAAAATTATTCAGGATGAAAAAAAAAATGACGATGTAAGACACAGACCTGTATTTTGTCAAGATGTTATTCTCAGTGAAGATGCTGTGGAGGCAGGTCCCTTCTCCTTCTGGCCATGTGGGTTTTGGGAGACAAAGCATCTTAATGTCCAGGAAATAAAATTTAAATTCCATTAGCAACACAAAAATTGTTGCTGGATCCTTTGAGATCCAGGTTGTCTCCATCTTTTGTGAAGCTACAAACTCCTTGGTTAGGCCCAGAACGTTGAACTTATTGTATTATTTGTGTTAGCTTTTGAAACACACAGGTTTCTTCATCAGGGAAAGGTGATTTTACAAAGCATTCAGAGGAAGGGGGAGATGATAATAGCTGGGTTTTGTTGTTGGTTTTTTTTTTGGCCATTATGTAACATCCATGTTCAGTTTCCTAACATGTAAGCAGAAGTTGATAACATCAAGTGACAAGGTCTTGAATGGGGTGTAACTTGTTGTCGGTGTCTTCAGATTATCCTTTGATTTAGTGGGATTGCAGAAACAGGCACTATGCTTTCCTTATTGCACAAAAGGCAACAAAGCAAGCTCCCTGGAAAATGCACAACCAGTTGCACAATGTCGAGATTGAGCAGAAGGGTGGTGTAGTACAACCATCGTGTTCCTGTGTGAGTATATTATTATTATTATTATTATTATTATTTTATTTTATTTATATGCTGCTTTTCGCCAAAACTGGACCCAAGTTGAGCTATAAAATACTTAAAGTCATCCAGATAAAAAAGTGGCTTTGATTTTTTTAGATTGCATGAATTGGGAGTTTATGTTTGAGATTCTAGAAAGAATGAAAATGGGAAATAGGTTTATCTCCTGGATTAGAAACACATATAAAACTCAACAAGCAACAATTATAATTAATGGGGGGGGGGG